TTTTAGCTTCTCTTTCCCTTCTCTAAAATATATAAAAATCAGTCAAAAAAACTTCAAACAATGATAAAATTAAAAAGTGTCATTTTACCTCTTCTTCTCGTTCTCTATAATTTTTGTATAAATGTTCTGTACTTTCTAAAAACAGTTCATGTTCAGATATTAAATTCGTCATGCAACGTCATGTGTTGTACATTAAACCTTGCAATAAATTTGGTACACTTTTTTTTCAACTATGGTTGCCCATGGTGTTGAAACCTTCTATCGAACACCTGATGACCCATTTGCGAACGCGTGTCTATACGCAGCATCGGAGCCTCGGGTGGGAATAGTTCCATTTTTTTAGCTTCTCTTTTCCTTCTCTAAAATACATAAAAATCAGTCTAAAAAACTTCAAACAATGATAAAATTAAAAAGTGTCATTTTACCTCTTCTTCTCGTTCTCTATAATTTTTGTATAAATGTTCTGTACTTTCTAAAAGCAGTTCATGTTCAGATATTAAATTCGTCATGCAACGTCATGTGTTGCACATTAAACCTTGCAATAAATTTGGTACACTTTTTTTTCAACTATGGTTGCCGATGGTGTTGAAACCTTCTATCGAACACACGATGACCCATTTGTGAATTCGTGCGTATACGCAGCATCTTGATAATTCCAATAAAATTTAACCAATACCTAGGGTCAAGGCAAAGCATTAGTTTGCAAAAGCTTCACAAAATTTTGATTTTATAAGAACTATTTCAGGGTGCCTAATATGAAATATGAACATGCATTTCTGAAAGTACTTGAAAGCTATCTTGCTCTTATTCGTGAGCGATGAACGTAAAAGACTGAAATATTCTCGATACGAACTGTGTCAGCTAAAAAATATTGCAAACATTTTTTATACTACTTGAAAACAAATTTGAATATTAAATGAGAGGTGAAAAGATTGAAACGAATCGATACATTTTAGAAAGATCTTTTTGGCTTTTTTTTCAACTATGGTTGCCGATGGTGTTGAAACCTTCTATCGATCACACGACGAACCATTTGTGATCGTGTAGGTCTACTCACCATGGGCGCATCCTCTGGATAAAGTACATTTTGTCTCTTTTTTATTTCCCTTCTCCAAAATATATGAAAATCGATCAACAAAACTTTAAACAATGATAAAATAAAGGCTCATATTACCTGTTCTTCTCGTTCTTTGAATCTTTTATAGCATTGCTCTGTGTTAACCACAAATTGTTGTCAAGAAGATGTTAACTCCGATCTCAGATGAGTTAAATGTGGTTCAAACAATTCGCAAAAAAATTATAGTCTACGCGAATTTAATGCAAAATTGGTCAAAGATAAAAATAAGCTAGAAAAGCTCAATGAGAAATGAAAGACAATCTACAGTAAGTAGTCTTTTTGAATACTATCTATATTTATCTTTGATATAAATTTAAAAAATCTGAAAACAATCTCGACATCGCAGAAAGTTTTGATAAGCGAAGAAAGTAGAGAATGGTTTGGAAAAAGCAAATTTACGACACACGCAACGTCATCTGTGCTCTTGATTTTCAACTATAGAGTCGAGCAGTGGGTCGCTGAATTTATTTTAGGAAATTTTATTACTCAACTATTTCTCAACCATCGAACTACTTCTATCAAGTTGACATTCGTATCAGTTCATATTTCTTTGAAATAAATTACGATTATCTCCCAAGCCTCTTTTCGTATGCTACGCATTATTATAAGCTCGACGATGTAATTAATTTTTTCTTACTCTAATGAATTGAATTTATAAAAAAATCATTCTCACTTTCATTTGTCTACAGGTATAGTGCAAAGCTCGAAATTCGATCGAAAGTTTACATCTTCCGCTAACCCAGAGACGCGCGTGCCAATTTACTTTCCGACGTAAATAAAATACATTCCGCCGTAATGTAATAATGTATAACGGTTGAGAAACTACACGAAGAAAGCTACACGGTTCGCGCGAAAGCTGTCGATCGATAAAATTAATTATGATAGCCGCAATACCCGAGATAACGGCGCGCTAAGTACATTATCATTATACCTATATATATTACGTTCGCGTTTGACAGCGCGCCGCGTGCAGTGGGCGTTATCATCATCCACGGCGCGATTTGAAATCGAGCGAGTGTCGATGATTTTTGCGTAGAACGCGATAAGGGGGAAAAAAACATTGGACTGTCTTTGAGATTTTTGTGATTGCAGCGAATTTTAAAAGCATGATTCCGAATCTACTACTTGGCAAGCGAGGCACAGTTTTGTGCCAATGCACTTGTACGTATATGGCAGCGGTATAGCGGCGGCAGTAGCAATAACCTATGCCAACGGATCGTCGACAACGAGCGCGTCCGAGCTGCAGTAGCGGCATCAGCACTCGCCGAGCATCGATTCTTCGGAGGTGTACGTACAACAAGCAGACTTATATACCGCCTGCGGGCTATATGTATACGCTAAGGCCTGAGACAGCAGCAGCAGCAAGCCTATATTATAGCAACTCGTGCGTGGCATCGGCACGCCGCCGCGGCTCTCTCGCGCACGAGCGACTCACGTTTGTGGCCTGTCCACTGCTACTACTACCTGCCTACCTACTGATAACTGTGCGACTATACGTGAGCAACGCACGAGCCCCGTTTCGCGCTGACAGTGTCTAAATGAATTTCCGGCGTCGTCCGTGTAGTACGAATTGATCCGAGTCACCTCGCCGCCACACCAGTGCACGAGTGCGAGTGCCACCACAACGAGAGACTGTCAATTCGTGCGCTGCCGTGCGTATAGGCATATATACCCGAATCTTCGTCAACGCGATTTGTTTACTACGAGTCGAGTTGTTTTCGTTGATCAGCAGCGGTGCCTTAAGTCGTACATAATAAGCGTTGATCGCGGTTGATGCTCGAGCGATTAGAGACGATCATGATTTCGTCGTGCCTGCGGCAGAGAACTAAACCGAGAGTGCAGTGCGGTGCCAGTGAAAGTTATACGAGTCGTGCGGTAGCCATGTGATTATTTTGCTCGTCGTCGTTGCTCCTCGTCGTCGTCGTCGTCGTCGTTCGTAACGTCCACATAGCGATACATTGCACCAGGATGGCTCTCTACGATAATGCCCACTGGCTGCTGTCACACATCAGGGATAGCTTCATTTCCACCGACGATACTGGTACGTTGCCGTTGTTTTACGTTTCGTTTCGGCTGCCTCGTTGTTGTATTTATTCATTATCATTGCGACGTTACAGGTCTGTGTGAAATTGTTATGGCCAAAGATGACATACCCAGGGAGTTGTACGAGAGCGGCTCTGTTTATGTTTATCCGGGAGCAGAAGACAGCGACGAAGAAGATCTTGACGCTTTATCAGACTCATACGATATTCTGATGGGTAAACTATTTACACAAATGTCAAAAAAAGTTTCAAGCAACATTTTCAATTTGTAAAACTTGATGAAATTCGTGCGTGTTTTCAGATATGGAATTTTCGCATAGGGCCAGAACGAATACGGCTCAGCGACTAGAAAAAATGGACCTAGAAAAAAAGAGAGCTGCCAAAATAAAACACATTAAATGGGAAAATCCACAAAGTATGTCATCCGAAGAGCAGCAAGAAATGTTTAATAGAAAAGAACTTCATACGGATAAACCTGTGGCAAAACAGAAATCACTCTTTTCTGAAATGCTGGAAAAATGCCCAGACTTACCTAAAAATCCATTCACAGATTATGCCAAGTTCGATGGAAATGTGAGTTTACTTATTATACATCCTTATTATGTCTTCATTTGACCATTTTAATGTTTTTTGCAGTTACAAATTGGAGTTCCTATTAGAAAATATAGAATTTTCATGTGCATGCTTCCCAAAGAATTAAGAGCATATCCTTTTCAAGTTATGGTTTTAGCAACTGCAAAAGTTCAAGAATTCATTGGATATATCTGTTACAAATACACTAGTGAACATCCAAACACACATATCCAGTATGTTCATATTTTAATACTTTTAACTATTGAAACTGTATTTAATCCATTTTTATTCATGATTTATTATATGAATTTTTTAGTGAAGATATTAGTAAATATGGACTTTATATCACAGAAGATGATGGTGAAATAGACTGGGATTTTCCTTGCTTAGATCCTACAGAAGTTATCTCTAAATTTGAGTTTTCAACTTTAGGTCTTGTTGAAATGAAACCAAGTGATAAAGCCAGACACAAAACGACAAAAGTTATCAATCAACCATTAGAGGAAAGAGAAAGTATAGATAAAACACCAGAAGATGCAGCCAAAGACCTTGCCAAAATGCAAATACATACTACAGCTATGGAAGCTCCTCAATATCAATTATACAGGTATGTAAAATTCTCTATCTTTAACTTAATTGATGAAATACAACTAAATAATACCATACTTGTAATATTTTTTAGAGTTTACATTATAAATAAAGTAAGAGCCAAGATTGAAGTACATTTGGGTATTTCTGGTGATAAAATTGAAATTGATCCTGTAAATACTGGTAAAGGTGCAAGCAAATTTTGGATGAGGCAACGAGCTGTTAGTTATCATATTGATAATGTTGCATGGTGTGAATTAGGTGAACAAAAAGGATCAAAAACTACATTTACCTTAGTTTATACACCTCATAACAATCTTACATTAGATGGTTTTAATGGTACGTAAGAATACTTCTTAACAATGAGTGAATCTTTATTTATATATAAACTTTTTTTCTGCAGTTTCTTTAGCACGTTCTCAATCTTTCAGAAGATCAGCATCTTTTAAAAATTATGATTTTGAGGCTGGAACTGTTGTTGCTGAGGAGATAGTTAGTAAAATCAATCACATTTTGCAACTTAGAAGCAGTTCTTCCAGAAAAGAATATATTGCTCAGAAAGAACGCAAAGCTTCAAGACGTAAGAGTTTTCATATTCACAGATGACCACTTTACCATTTTATGTATATTGTTGTTGTTGTATTTTTAAAGAATTTTTATCGTGAAGTGATTTAGTTAGTCAAACAATTAACGACGCATTGTAATTAAATCGAGATTTTTAATCAATCAATCCAACTGATGATGTATACAAAATTATGAAATTCAAAGAAAACTATAAATTAGTGAATAAGTATATGCTAATCTTATATTTATGTATATTAAAATTTATTTACAAAATCTATAGTACATTATAAAAGTATTATCAGTCTGCAAATTGAATTATTCGCTGTTTTGCTTTTTCCACTTCACTTTTCAAATTGGTCACGGATTTTTCACAGAGATGACTAGCGTTCAAATTCAGATAAGTCACTTTGGTCGCCAGCTCAGAAAGTCGATGTAAATTTTCATTGAATTCGTCGTAATTCGGCCGAGCATCGAGAAATGCTTTTTCCCTACTCGTCAAGACGGACAGATCCAATTTCTGGCCCGCCTCGATTGTTTTCAGCAACAACGACGTATTTCGAGTTCGAATCCTCCTCCTCGCGTACTCTTCGCGCCACTGCGCGTCCTCGCTCTCGAGTCTCGCAATATAACCTTTCAAGTCGAACGAGCTCTTCGATGCAGCTCTCTCGGAGGATTTGAACTTTTTCGACTCGTGGGTCACATCTTGGGTGGTGTCACAATCTGCGAGACAAGTTGCATTGTATTAATTTTAAAATTGATGTTTCGAGAGAATTTCGTCGACTCGAAGCGTGAAAACGTACCCGCCGAAATTGGCCCAATTGATTGTCGTTGGAAGGCAGTCGATCGACGCCTCGTGCTTTTCGGCACCGGGGGCGAGGAGTTCAGGCTCGTTTCCACGGGCTCGGCCACCTCGTTACTCATTTCATCCGAATTCACATTGATGCCTGTATAAAAAAAAAGCAAAAACAAATTTTACCGACTGCCAGGCTGGAGTTTGTAAACAAACAGCAGTCACGCAGACGTTACGTTGAAAACAAATTCGCGACGGTAGCGCCACTTCAAAAAAAAGGTCGATCGATAACGAATTTGATTGCAATGCTAATCATCGTCGCTGCTCATTACAAAAATAATTAAGCAGTACTGTGCGAATCTCAACCGGTGTAATAGGCACGTAAACATTTTTCATTTCTTCGACATCCAAACGCATCTTATTGAGTTAGTTGCCTGCGTGAACAAGGCGGGTAAAGTCCCAGTAAGTTCCAGAAATTTCTGCTCGGTGAATTCGGGTATATAAGGGATTGGCCGTTCAAACGGTCTAGATCATTCAGACTCGAGCGTTTGTACAAGCCTCAACCAGTTCGTCACCGGATAACTCTCAACGTTTACTGAAAATCTTCACTCATCAGTACTTGAAAAAGTTTACAATTCTCATCTGTAAAAAGTACAAATTCACGAAATATCACAATGGACGCAATGGCAAACAAAATTGAAACGGTAAGTTAATAACCGGCAAAGCAGATTTGTTGTTATTAAAAGACTAGTTAACGTTGAATCAAGTGTAAAATTTAACGAACTTATCTCTTAAAATTTCCCTTCATTGTTACTGTTACAGATCAAAAGCGATCTCCTTGAGCTCAGTAACTTTTTGGAAGCATCCACTCGTACTCGAACAAAAAATCTTTTAACGACTGAAATTAAGAAGCTACAACAGGAGATGATTGACTTGACCAATCCTAGCTTGAAGGCACCAAAACCCACCATGAAATTCGAACCAAAACTTGGGTACGACGTCAAACTCACCAATTATGCTTGGGATCAATCCAAAGAGAGTGTGAAGATTTACGTTACTCTGAAAGGTGTCAAGAATGTGGCCAATGATTCTGTATCTTGTCATTTCACTGAGCGCTCAATGAACTTGCAAGTCAATAACTTGGACTTGAAAAACTATTATCTCCACATCAATAATTTGTGCGAAGACATTGATCCAAGCAAGAGCAGTTTTAAAATAAAAACTGACATGGTTGTTGTAACTATGATAAAGAAAAATAAAAAGGATTGGGCAGCAGTTACAAGTGTTGAAAAATCTATCAAAGATGCCAAAGACTTCAAAAAGAAGAATGACTATGACTCGAGTGATCCTAGTGCTGGTTTGATGAGTATAATGAGTAAAATGTATCAGGAGGGTGATGACGAGATGAAAAGAACAATCGCCAAAGCTTGGTCAGAGAGTCAAGAAAAAAAATTAAAGGGAGAGAAAATGGAAATGTAGATATGTTTGAATAATTTGACAAAAACCTAAACATGTAAAACCTTTATAAAATAATGTAATTATTTCGTCTATTATAATAGGAGTTTATACATTTGCATATTTTTTTTAAGTTTTTATCTAATTTTTAATGTATAGTTTTACTATTGAATTATTTAAGATTAAAATCATAAGGTGTAAAATATTAATACATTAATAATAAGCATTTTTTTATTATATACGGCAAATTTTATTTCCCAAGTCCCACATTTGAAAAAAAATTATTTCTTTTGATTTAAAAGAAAAAAATGTATATAATGTTCACTATAATAATTCAACAAATTCAAAAAAATTGATCGAGAAAGAATAGTTTCTTCGTGAATTTTGTACAAAACAAAGGATCTTTCCATTGCAGTCATTACTAAAGTGCAGAATTTACTGAACAAAGTTGAAAGTAAATAAGTTTAAAATATCTTGCAGCTGAATATATATCATAACAAATTCAAAAATTTAATATGGAGAATATTGATAATAAAAAAAAGAAAAATACAGTTAGATTTTGAAATGATTCTTGCTTCACTATTGAAACATAGTAAAAATTTACATAGTTGGAATGTAAGGATATACTATAAAGCCTTGGCACTCTGTAATAGATTCTTTTGCTGACAAACATATCAAGCAAGTAGACAAATATTCTACTGAATCAAAAAAAATCACACTAATAACACACTATGAAGTTTTGAAATATTAACCATGATGTATTTTTATAATGGATAATACATTTTGTGCATGGTTGTATTATTTCATTTTTATGGCATTATAATAATTATTTTACTTAATTTATAGTGCAACAGTAAGAATAATCTTACTTGATACTTAAAATTATTGGTAATATGATTCATCTTTCTTGAATTTATCTTTGGTATTTTCATCAAAGACTAATCACATTTTTTATAGTACATTATATAAAATCTAAGTTACATGCAAAATTTTTCAATTACAAAACTTAACAAGAATTAGAAAATGTAAATTTTAGAACTTCATTCACACTGAGTCCATCAATTTGTGCAGTAGGACTTGAAAATGATGCTATTTATACTGATTTATAGTTACTGTTTTGCTCTGTACATATAGTGCAATACTTTTTATGTTATTATAATAATAATATAGCATGAAGATAATTTCGTACAATACACTATTTTTCAAGTTTAAAAATACATTCAAAGTTAAAAATCATTTATATTAAAATGGTACTATTTTTTCATGATTTTTTTTCAAATTCTCAAATAAAATGGAATAATAATAAAAGTAATAAATATCGTTTCATAAAATAAAGTATAAAATAATAAAATAAGGCACTTTTTTTAAAAATAAAATTCGTTGCTGTATGAAGTTGATTAATCATTTTTACAAATACATGTTTCTGACTTGTATCACAACACATTAATTTAGGATTTAAGTTCAATTTATGGAACTTGATTCATTTTTGTTTTGTACCTTAATGATAACTGGTTGGAAAACTGTGCTTTTCTACCTGTTGAAAAGTTTTATAGTCTTGCATAGCCTACGTGTATAAAATGTAGGAATTTTGATCTTACTTTACAAATACTGAGAATAATTATTTTCTTACTCTTGAAATTGATTCATTTATCCTCAGTACATTAATTCATTTTGATTATAAAAATCTCATAAGCGTATATTAACAAAAAATTTATGAGCTGATTTTTTTCAAATACATTCAATTAAGGATGTAGTACATTTTTAACAATATTTAGTCAGACTTGAAACTGAAATGATAAAAATAATTAAAAATAATGGACTTGAATTATAAGTGATTTTGTTTCATTGAAAAACTTATTAACAAATATTATGCTTTTAGAAAAATAAATCTCTTACAAACTGGTATACCACACTGGAATAGAGTTTTGGAGGACTAGTTGACGTTTTTAAACCTTACACTTTTTTGTGTCTATTTTTTTTCTTCAAAAAAGGTACTCTGGGAATTATGCTTGAAAACCAGAAAAATGTGTTCTGGCTCTAAAGTTAAATTTAAAAGCTTTTGTCAATATGAATGTTGATCATTAATATCAAGTGAATGAATACGACCTTCTATTTAATCGCAAACTTACTTATGTTATTTTCCTATATGACGAAAGCTGTAAACTAAATTACTAAATTCATAAAATCTTAAAATTATCGATCAATTTGTTTTTTAGCGGTCATTGATAGCTGTATTTCATGATTCGTTGCATGAAAAGTTTGAGTCATTAATTCTCTCGTTTTTTCCATTAATTTAGGAACATCATTCACATCCATTCCTTCTGTTGAAATGGGAGGTAGAGTAGTTATAATTACCCGACCTATAAGAAATTAAAAAGAAAATATTTTAGTAAATATGATTGATAAAATTAAAATTTTACATAGTGAAAAAATTACCAGAATCTAATCTTTTTTCTTTCTTTGACATGAAGTAATATGAAGAATATACAACAGGTAAAATTGGTAACTGGGCATTAATGGCCACATGAAAAGCTCCTTTCTTGAAAGGATGTATTTCACCAGTGTTTCGTCTTGTGCCTTCAGGGAAGATCCATAATTTGATCTAAGATAAAAACAATTATAATAAATAATCATTTCCCAGATATCCAATAAAATCTTGTCTATAATCTAGTTCACCTTATTCTCCTTCAAATGCTCAACAGCTGTATTGATAGTATCTCTTGCTTTATCTGATTGCATTCTATCAATAAAAATAAGCCCGCAGAGCCAAGCTGCAAGACCGAAGGGCCAAACATAAAAAATCTCCTTCTTAGCTACTACAGTACATTTATCCATGATTGGCCATATGTCAAACATGCCTTGTATATCTAGCGAGCTTTGATGATTAGCTACAATGATGCAAGCTCTCTCTTTCTCTAAATGCTCTTGACCTCTCAATTGCCACCTAATTCCTAGCAAACTACTGGTATAACGACAAATAGAAGATGCCAATCTGCAAATGATCAAAAAAAAAAATGAGTACTGCAAAGCTCTAATATGGTTCGAATGTGAAATGGCACAAATAAATGCTGGGATATACTTACACTAAATTCCTCACATTTTTCGGACGGAACATCATGATAGGGATGAGAATAACAGCATATACCATAGTGACTCCATAGTAGATCAAAAACTTGAAGTAATACCTGAAAGCTCTATTGGCCTCGTAAAGGAAAGGCAATATCAGTAAAAAAGCCACGAGAAGGACTTCGAAGGACAGAGGTGGTGTCATGATTGCCATCACAAACACACTCGTCGCTCTTTTAAAACAAGCAATAATAACTGCACAGAAGCAACGGATCGATGCTATTTTTAAAGGCTTAATATACGAGTATTAAATTCTCACTAATTGGAAAAAGCTCCCGAGAGCGTTTGCAGATGTAGGCTTGTCCGTTGGTTCTCTCTCTCTCAAAATGACGGCATGCCCTCCGTCATTTCGATCAATTGACGTACTTCCATAAAGCGCGCGTTCGTATATATGTGTCCGTGTATGTGTGTGTGTGTATATTTATTTTATAATCGGACTCCCAAAGCACTGACTAGAACGATGAATGCGACGCCGATCAGCGGGCGAGACAGTCGCTCGATATGTGTGCTTTTATATATTACTCGGCAAGATACTGTCGTCGCGTGACGATGAGAGATACATCAATAATAATACACAGCACCGGCGAACGAACGACGGAAATCTCTGCGCCCTGGCACTACTGTGTGCGTCTCTGTGCGTCAGTGCGTTTTTTTATATATATATTTTCTTCTTCTTCTTCTTCTCCTCTCGATTGCGTGCGTTTGCTTTATAACGAGGAGCGTCGACCTCGTTGTTGCTGATCATCAATTGCCACTTGCCGCAGACTCCGATTCGACTCCGTGGTGGTGTCGTTCGATCATTCAAAGGCTCGTCGAACGTATAGGGCGTACATGAGAATAAGCTGATAGCGTGTTTCGCACTACACGCACATTAGATATGCGGACGCAGCAACAATGATCCGGTGGCGCGGATGACTAATGTATAAACGCGGAGGCGTCGAGACAATGCTCCGCTGCTGCTGCTGCTGCTGCTGCTGGCACAGCTTTTTACGCAATATATTTATCTATTATCTTCCCTTTCTGCGCCCCGTTCGCCGATGCGCTCGATAAACATGATACCTCGACGCACGAGCCGTCCTTAAGTATCGTTGTTATTATTACAATGCTGTCTCGTGCTCCGTATATCGTATTCGAGTGTGGGACGATGCCGAAGCTCCGAAATATATACGAACCCTCGACTTTACATCACGACAAGCTCGTGCACGCGATATCCATGGCTCTCCAAGGACTGCGAGAGGATACACTGCTGACACAGTGATGTATATACGAAGAACTGCCCTGTGTATACGCGAGTGTGCAACAAGGTAGTAAGTATACCCTACTGCACATTTACGCTGCAAGCAGCAGTGGCAGCAGCAGAAGACTGACGCGCAACAGCGGCAGAGGCAGTTGTTGCCGCCGCGGAAGGTACTGTATAACGCACCTATATAGGTATATAAACTATATTTGGTGAACTTTTCGCCGCAGGCTCTCCTCTATTCGCTGTCTTTGCAGTTGTTCGCGAGCGGCAGCTGCACTGGGTATAGCTGCACTAATGAGTTACTACTCTCTCTCTCTCTCTTATATATATACACAAGCACAAACGCACACACGGGCGTCTAAGGAATTTTAAACAGCTTTGCGCGCAGAGTCGTAAAACTCTTGTTTAATGTATATCGCAGCCACTACTGTATATATATACGATACACATCCGCACACTCCCCCACTCGTCGTCCTTTTGTCGTTTGCACGACACGCTCGTTCGTATACTATTTAAACGCGCGACTCGTTATAACAGACGGACGACGGCCCTGCACCAACGGCTGGATTAATATTTATTTTCGCGCCTGCCGACGAGTAGCATGCCACAGAGAGAAAGAGATTGCAGACCCCCTCGCGACATACACACTAGTCCGCAGCATTATATATTGTAGCAACAGCGCGGCGCGTGCTAGTACATATATATAGCTATAGGTATGTTAGAAACTGTAGCAGTAGTGGCAAGGAAATAATATAATTGCGGCATGCGCCAAACTGCACACTTGACCTTGGACGCGGTCTATAATATCGCGGCGGTGGCGGCGGCATTGCACTAGGCTTTTACTGCTGCTGTTGTTGCTGTTCATGCGCGCGCGCTGCATGCAGCCACTATAACGTTTTTAAATATGTGCCAGTCGAGAAACATGCCTATATCTCGTTTATTCTATTTCACGAACTAAACTCGTTGGCGCGCGATAAAAGCAACAAAAAAACGCGAAAAGGAAAAAGAAATGAAAAGAGTCGAGGCGATTAGCGACAATGAGAAATTGGCGTTCGATGAACAATGACTTGTGACGTTTGATTGAAAGTATTACCGAGAGAGCAATAATTGTTCGCGTTCTTGAGTCGTTACGTGGTACACGATATGCAATAATCATTTTTTTAGAAGGCAGGTAATGTTCGCACGCGCTTTAGCTCTAAACGTATGCAATAATGTGTGTATATGCACCAGGTATTAGTCGTTGTTTTCAAAATATCCTTATTCGAACGTCGATAATATCGATTAAACAATTCGCGCGCGAAAATTACCCGCGTCCAAGTTCGTATGGTTTTTTCCTCCTTCCCCTTTCATTTTGATATCGCTATACTTGCCAGAGGCCATTGAGTCGGTCGCGCGATTTCGCGCGTTCCAATGTCGCGGCGCGGCGCACTCGTATGCAACGCGCCCGGCCGAGTAAGTTTTCAACTCATAAATATCGCAATTACGTGCAAGCCACGAGTATGTGTGTGTGTGTGTGTGTGTAAGCTCGCATATATGAATTATTGTAAGTACGGCACGGCTCGTATGATCGATCGAATCGAGGCTTTTTTACCCACAAACCCAGTGATTGATTTTTTTGCTGGCTAAAATTGACGGACATGGGTCGATTTTTACGATGGAATGTTAACGATCGCCGCTGATAATACCGATAAACCGCGGAACGGCTGCTGAGTTCTATGCAACTCGCAGAGATTTTTTTGCAGATGTACCACTTATGCACGATCGTCGGTTACTTTCTGTTTTTTTTTTGCCAATCAATCAACGATTCTTAGTTAAAATAATGAAAATGATCATGTGGATTTGTAGCTTGATTATTTTGATAATTTATAGGCATTGGCGATAATTTTTAAAATACCGATGCTATTTTTCAAGATTAAGAGTGACATAGATATTTTCCTAGAACCTTATTTTCTTTATCGATCATTCTTTAAATATCATTAAGGGATTATCAACATCAAATCTTGATTATCTTACTTTTTTTCTATGAACATGTGCTGTTTTTAAAAAAAAAACGTCTTGCTTGTCAATGTATTCAGAGAAGACCATTTTAGTCTCTCCTTGGAAACGTCAGTGATTACGGTCGTAAACTGTAATTGAAGTCTGTGGTTGCTTATGATAGTGTAACATTTCAAATAGAAGCCAAAAAAATATACTGAAGTGTTTGTGCATCAAACAAGTCAATTCGATTATAGCTGTTCAAACTAAAAAAGCCAATAATTTGTATTGGTTGCTTTCTTTTTTTACAATTGGTCGAATCCAGAAGATTACAGGAAGTACAGGAAGTTAAAAAATGCTATAAAAGTAATTTGACTTTTCTTTTCAAATACTTATTACATGTGATATAACTTATTTTACAAAATCACAAAGCCAAATTGAAAATAGAAAATCATATTTATTCCTACTTGAACATATTTACATATTTTACAGTATTCACACTCGGTACTTATATCAATTAGCTATAATGTCTATATTCTGGTTTGAGTTCCCACATATTTTTGTGAGGGTTTCTCACATTATAGTTACAAACTTCATTTAAAATTTCTTTTAAATACCCCTGAAAATGAAATAAAACTTGTTAAATATTCTTCTGAAATGTTTTTTTTTCAATTAAAAATATACTTACCACTGGCTGATTTGTTTTTTTAACCAAGTCCTTAATGTTGTAATACTGATGGCTTTCAAAAGCTTTAAATATAACACTCAAAACAGTATCTTTATCGCCACGCATTTTCTTTCCTTCTGATTTTTTCCTTTTATCATACTCGATCTAAAAATTAAAAATGATTAGTTTTTATTTTATTTAAAATTTAAAAAACTTTAAACTCATGCAGAGATGTTTCAATAGTTTGGAATATAATATTATTATGATCATAACTTACATTGTGTTTATGATTTGATACTGGTTTGTAAGTCTGGACAAAATGCTCCAATTGTATAGCTTTTCTTGCAGGAATCGCAGCCTCGCGTATAGTTTCCATTTTGAGTTGCATGTATTTATCATCACCTGCATTAAAAAGTAAAAGATTAACTAATGATATTCATACAAAGTTTAAAAATTATCAATGGAAATTTGAAAAAAAATCATACCATTTGGATGGCACTCCATTTTTGTAACAATTTTTCCTTCCAGACATAAACTTGAGTTTCCTTTTTTATCTATTTCTGAGAATACTCCAATTGTTTGGTGTACAACAGTGGAATAATCCAGTTTATGCTCCTCTGGAATATCTTGTTCATCAGGTTCTTTTAAAGCTAAAGCAGCTTCAGAAAGTTTGAGTGATACTTCAGGTTTTTTTCTGTCATGTCTGTGGCAAAATAATATAAATGTTTGAAAATGATTATTATTAAAGAATCAATAAGTCGAAAGAGTAATATCATCTAATATTAAAAATGTCTTCTTAAAATATCTTTGTGCGTTAGGCTAAAAATATTATTATTTATCTGTAATACATATGGATAAAAAATAGTAGGATAATTAGCAAAAGTAGCTAAGAAAAAAGACATAACATGGAAACTTGGAAGAAGTATATTACAAAAGTCAGGAAATTTTTTTTAATGATTTAAGTAACATAAAAACACAAGCCATTAACAAATATTGAAACGTTTGAAAATAAAGAAAATAACCCTTTAGAAAAATTACAACAGCTAAAATTAAATTATTATTTTGATACAATTTTTTTAAATTCACACTAAATATTTTTTCCAAAGCAACACATCACAGACACAAATACAACTACAAATGTCTACATTCATTTATATTTTTCAGGAATACACGTGATTTTATAAAAGAATAATAAATAGATACTTTAGAGAACACGTTTAAAAATTTTCATTGCGTGTTTTGCTATTTCTATAAATAGGTTGGAATCATATTTTCTAAAAAGCTTTTCACCAATTAACAAATACGACTTTTCTTACTTTGCAATTTTGAGCTTTGCCACCTCGATTCTCCCAGGTGCTCTGTCCCATCTATCTGCTACGTATTTTGGAACCTTTACAAGCCAACAAACTCTTTTATCAACTTCAGTTAGATCGAGGCTTTGCCCAGAATCATTTGATTTAGACGAACTTGATTTAGTCATTTTTTTTATGTCTAATTATTTTGTACTAATGAAACTCGAGGATGCGCCCAACCAAACGGCTCGTCTGTCTGCTGTGTTACACGCGGCAGTACTGAGTGCTAACTGGAGATTTAAATAAGTGTCAAAACTCAAACGGCCAGCAGAAGCTTGGCTTACTTGGGCAGCACGTGGATCATAGAAACTCGACGACTAATAACTAGCGCCACGAGTTTCTGAAAACGCGGCCTGATGACCAAATTTGAAAGATTTCAAATGCTTGCAATGATGAACTAAAAGATTTTCTTCCAATGTTTTAATTTAAAAATCTGATTTATTTATATCATACCTGTTTATTCGTAACGTGTCTTATTATGCTTGTGGAAGAGTCCAAAGCTCCCAATGGTTATTCCTTCATAATAATACTCAAGAAACGAATTTTAAAAATGAAAAATTCTTCGAGAATTTATCGTCCATATATTATTAATTGAATTTATTTCGAATATTATTTTCATAATTTTCTTACGTATCTATGTATAACGAGAGTAATGGAGAGTTATGTAAAAATCCATTGAGACAAGCTAGATCAAATTGGATATTTACTATAGATTCTTTTCCATAGATTTTCTTTATAAAACTCGAAAGGGCCTTCTACTATCACATTTCAAGGAATAGCTACTCGTCGCTGGTTCTTTACTAACGCCTTTTTGATAATGTAACAAATCTACAAAACGTTTGAAATTTAACATGTTAAAAATGATTCAGTTCGAAAGTTTGATTTTGTGAGATTGGAGGCGTGGATGAACTGAGAAGAATTTAATGGAAAAACCGGAGAATTTTTTTTTTTTTAAACCCAAGTATAAAACAATTACAATATAAAATAAGAACCCGATTTAGTTTCATACGTTTTATTACGACTATTACAAAAACGCGAATCGATCGCGATTTCATTCACGAATCACGAATTTTTCTTAAAAATTGAATTGGCATGCCGAATAAACAGAAGAATAAATGAATTATTGGACTATTTGATTAGAGAAACGAAAAAAAGTATGATCACGCAAGGTCCAATATCAAATCGAACGCTATTTTGCAAAAAAAATAAAAACAACAAACCAAACAGTATCGCGTGCACCCGTTTCTACGTCTCTCCTTTGTGCGTAACCCCGCAAGACAAAGTCATTTTTAACGGAGAAGTGGGGGTAAGCAAAAAAAAAACCGGTGGGCCGGTCTTGTACATTTGTGCCGTTGTCGCCTCGCTTCATTTCAAATTTCGCGAGATACGACCAAGCAGCTCATACATAATACAGCCAGCGTATGCAGTCAATTGACTCGCAAAGAAGTTCTATATATTAACATCTCTCGAGATATACAGCTATTTATACGTATATCACGCATACAGAGGCCTTTGTTTTGATCGCGCGAGCGAAAACATTCCAAGAATTAGAATAAGTGGAAGCTGCCGCAGCGCGCCAGTATCATCGCTCTCTCGGGTCGCGTTATTCGCACACCGCGTGTGTTGTGTACTCTGTGTATGTACTGCCCCGAGACCTTTGTCGGACACGCACGCGTTTGAAGGGAAAAAAAAGCAATTCGATTTAGTATCGTCGCGATCGAACGGTCCCTATATACGAGACTCGTCGCTGTAAAACAGTAGTGCTGCACTTTTAGAATTATATCGGCTGTGACTCGTTTTTGTGATAACAAAGGACATAACAAAGACAAGCAGTGATTCGTATCGCGGTGGTGCCTATCGTCGCTTCGGGCATCGATAGAAAATAAAAAGTACCAAAATGACCGGTGCGACGAGTTCCGGCAAGGAGGCCAGGCTCAAGGAAGTGAAGTCGATAATACGTTCGCTGCTCATATCCAATATCAAGATAGACGTGAAGCCGACGTTCCTGGACAGCATGTACTTCGATCTCGAGGGCAAAAGGATACCGTTCCGCGAGTTTGGCTATCAAAACTTGATCGAGTTTCTATCCAAAATACCGGACACGACGAGGTTCGTGAAGAACAGGGCCGGCGAGATATGCGTTAAGCACGTAGACACGGAAAAATCGGCACACATCAGTGACCTCGTGTACAAGCAGAAGGCACCTCCGGCCAAAAAAAGAAAAGCCGCCCCAATTGTTCGCAGACCTTCCTACAATAATTTTAGTAGCAATAATAATAATTACTATAAAAGTTTGAAGCCGAGCAATCAAACCAACTACCATTCGCGTCAGCCCAGCAACCAAAGCAATACGACGTACAATACTGGGACCAATTATAGGAGGCCCAATATGACGATACCTGCAAAAATACCAGAGAATCATCCGATAACATTTTTGTCGGATGTTTTACGTGAGTTCAGATATAACATGACTAAAAATGACCAACCAATGGGTATCAGAAAGTCTGAATTGCTGTTCAAAGTCAATGCGTTGCTTGATCGAAGCAATCATTACACAATTTTCAGTTTGAACGCACATTTGAGACAAATACCCGATATTGAAATTGTCAATGACTTTGTTTATTTCAAAGATCTCATGAAAAAAATGACCAAAGCTCCAGTTACTATTCCAACCCCAGCGAACATCATTACTCCAGCACCAGCGAATATCGTTACTTCAACACCAGCAAATATCATTACTCCAACACCATTACCAAAGCCTATATGTGTGATGAAATCATCAAATTCTCTCAATCATGATTCAGCCCATAAAAGTATAGATGTACTTAATGACAATCATTATCGCAAAGACATTTCAGAATCATATCAAAATAGTAAAACGAATTCAAATGTAAAAAATGAAACAAATACAGCTCACTGCAGTACAACCAAGGAATTCGATAATTTATCAATTGATAAAAAATTGAATGGTTATCCTGAAGTTCCAAAAGAGTTTGCTGTCAATGATAAATTAAAACTGCGTCTAGAGAAATTATTGCAAAATAATCCAGAAGGAATATGGTGTTCTGATTTACCAAAAATTTATGAAAACGAGTATGGTATAGAATTTGAATTTCAAGAATATGGTTTTCAGAACATACTGGCTTTTTTAACATCGTTGGATGATATTTGTCGAATTGTTACACCTCCTGATGCAAATAATCGATCAATGGTTGTAAGCAAAATAAGCAATGACCAATTAAATGGGAAAAAACCATTAGCTTCATTGTATAACTTCAAAGATTATGTGAAAGATTCACAAGATCCAGTTCCTATAAAATTGGTATGTAATACATCATATTTTACAGTTTTAATATTACATTTTTTAAACTAATAATAATTTTTATGTCTATTAGTCAGCAGATGTATCAAAATCATTGATTCCTGAAAATGTTTTGACCAAAAAAGACTCTTTAGATGTTGTACATGTTACATCAATAGATAAAAATTATGAAGAATATGTAGAAGTTGTAGTATCTGAAGTTTTCACACCATCATTCTTCTGGGTACATCTTAGAAAAAATATAAAAAAACTAAAAGCTATGATGGAACTTTTAGAGTAAGTAAATTAACATCAAATTTGGTCTTATAAATTTTGAATATTTAATGAATGAATATTTTTTATTACAGTTTGGAATATAGTTCTGACAATGATGTACAATATTTGAAAGTACCTCAAGTCCTTATTGAGCCTGGATTGAATATTGCTTGCAGATTTGATCATAAATGGCACAGAGGAATGGTAAAGAAAACTAAACCTGATGGATATGTGACTGTGAGTATTTTCAGTTTAATTTATTTTGGAAATTTGATCATCACAAAGAATTTTATTATTGAATCATTATTCACAGATTTTCTTCTATGATTATGGGACCGTTAAAACATACAATCCAAATGACATCTACTTTCTGAAAAAAAAATTTGCTACTCTGCCTATTCAAGCAATACCTTGTGCTTTGTATAATGTTGTACCTTTAGATTCTACAGATTGGCCAACTGTATCGACTAAAAGATTCACATCTAAGGTCTGGGGTATACCTTTGGTAGCTTCAATTTCCGATATAGATGAAGAAGTAAGTAATCATTTCCCTTTTGTTATTTTAAATTATGTTCAAATTAATGATTATAAACTTGAAATACTTTTCTGTTAAAGCAAAACTCATTGACTGTAGCATTGACTGACACCAGTGATGATTTCAACGATCTTCACATTAATGATTGGATGGTAGAAAATGGTTTGGCTGACTGGGGTAAAATGGTTTGTATAATGAAAAACTTTCCGTTTGAGCATTACAAAAGGTGTTTGGAATCTGGTAATATAATGTCTGTACTGCACAATTCATTAGACAGTTCTGGTGCGGAAACTGTTTATGCAGTAAGAGATGAGCCTGATTTTGATTCGTCATCAAAAACAAATTTAGCTGATCTTTATAAAGAGTTATTATTTCCACAAAAAAATGATCATTCTCATATTTTGAAAAAATCAGTAAGTGTAACATCTCTTAGTAGTAGAGAATTCTTTGGAGATGACAATGTTTTAGAAAAATTTGCAACCTCTACTCAACTTGATGATAAAGAATGTAGTGAAAGTTATCATTCAAAATCTTCTGTTTCATCAAAAACTGATGTTGATAATCAGTCAAATGATTTTTACACATCTTATGGTGGTCATGGCAGAATGAACCCCATCAATTGGTCTCAAGCTATTCATAAAACTTGCTCTTTGCAGTCTAGTTTCTTATATAAAATACTTAAAATTAATTTTCAGAGTAAAAAAAACGATTATTGATAAACAAAATTAAATGTTCTCTGCTGTTTATCAAAAATTTTATCCTTTAACGATATGATTTCATTAAATTTTATAAACTTAGTTACAAGCCTTTGAGTAACTATTATGCAAATGTCAGTAGTTAAAAATTTTAAAAATGTAAAAAAATGTAATTGTAATGGTTAACTGAATAATATCTGTTAAATGTAGTTTTGTTGTAATTTAAATGTTTTCCAGTACAAGTTAGATATAATCATTACAATAATATATACAGTATATTTTTTATTTTCATACTTGAGTATTTGAATATTCATAAATTTTGGGAAAATCTTAATGTTGTTTTTAAGTATTAATATGTCAATTTTGTAATGTTTTAGTGAATAAAAAATTTCACAACAAAAACATTGATTTCTTATTATATGAAAAACCTCCTATCTTGTATTTTATTCACACTACACTAAGTATTTTTCCCAAAATTTAGTAATAATAATTTTTAAATATCAAGTGCATGCAAAAATGACTAATTATTAATCAAATTGTGTTGCCATTATTTTTTCACATAGACATAATAATTATTACTAAACCTGAAGTTCTTTTTTAAAAAGTATAATTTTTTCACAGATCACGGGACCACCTATCGAAAGACTATTGTCGTATGAAATAGGCATAAGTGCAAAAGAGCGTAAATCCAAAACTAAGAGGAGACCAAGTGACAGGAAAAAGTCATCAGAATCTCAGCCTGCTATTGATCTCATTGATTTCTCTGATTCTGCAGATGGAATTGTCCCAAGATCCGAGCCACCCGTCATCAAATCATTAGTGAAAAATAATTTATCATTAGCTGATTTAACAAATGATGTGGCAAAACAAATCTTAGTAACGGGCTCTGATACAAAAAGCAATTCATCACGTTCAAGCAGAGGAAGTGTTCATGAAAAATCACAATCATGCAACCGTGATGATGCAATTTCAAATCTTAGCAGCAACCTAAGTTCTCTTAAAGTCTACGATTCAAACGAGAATAAATTCTCTGAACCATTGTCAAATCATGTATCTGACAACGTAGAACCAGAAAAGATGACAAATTACCTTCAATCGCTAACATCATTGATAAAGAGTTCTCCTGTTGTTTTACGTGCTAAAGATAGCGTCAGGCCGGAAGACCTATGTTTGCCGATTAAAGGTGGGTCCGATTTTTCTGAAGATCCAAGTGTTTATTCGGACGATGAGATGACGGAAGATCGACGTTTTACATTTAAAAATGGAACACCTTGTATAGAGATAAAAATTAGTAATGGAGATTCGAAGGAAAACTTAAAACACGAAGTTGCTAAAAAAAGCTGTGAAAAAAGTTCTGATGAATCTGTTTTCGAGCAACAGGGAGATGTGCATGATACTCGAGATAATGTCAGTACATATTCAAGTGTACAATCTTCCAAGAGAACCATAAAAATCCTGTACCCTTCTCAGTTTGCTGCTAAATTTTGTAAACGTCGTCTCAGCAGCTCTTCGACTGAAAAAAGCAGCGTAAAACATTTGAATAAAAAAACTTATCTTACTCAATTTACTAAAGACTATTCTTCAGAAATTGATTCTGCATTGGATAGTAATACAACACCTGAACATCAAACTGCCAATGAGCATTCTTCTGAAAATGATTCTGCATCGGATAATAATACAGCACCTGAAATTCAAGACAGTAAAGACTCTTCTCCCGAAATAAATCGTACTACAGATGATAATATAGGAACTAAAACTGCACCTTCATTCAAAAAAATTTGTAAGTATAAATAAATGTATTTTGTTTTTGCTAAAGTGTCTTGTAATAAAACTCATCTTAATTTGGGAATTTTAGGTTTGACCGAAAGATGCGGTAGAAAACTCATCCACATTTTCTATTTGGAAAATGATGGTTGGATTACTGCTGGAGAGATGACTAAGGCTTTTACCAACTTGGTTGATCAAAGAGTTTTGTTTAAACTCTTGGAGGTATGCGAAGTACACGTGGATTTTAAATATGTGGATAAAGATTCGTATCCCGAATTATTCGATCAATTGAACAAGTAAGATGATAATTTTTCGATAAATCTTTAAACGTCGATTTTTTTACTTAATAACTTATCTCAAACATATTTTTAGAAGTGAAATTCTTGCCGATCGTGACGAAAATAATAACATTTTTCCTACCTATCAATTTACACTTGTATCTTTGATAGATATGTTAGAAATATTAGAGAAACTCATGTTTTTGGATGCTAGTCATGTTCGTGATGCAGTTCCAATTATGAAACAACATAAAGATAATTTAGATTTAGAAAAAATTATATACGAAAAGTTTCGTAGTGAAATATTGTTTGACGTACTGGTAAGTACTCGAAATAATTTTATTATAATTGCAAAATTTAACGTAATGCTATTTTTTTTTAGAATTCAGTGGTGAAATTCCGAGAATTTAGGGACTCCTTGAAATCAACGACCTCATAAAGTGTTGATTTATGCCTTTAAATTACGTCAGCAATAGTGTATATCATTTAGAATAATAGTGACTTATTTCAAAATTCTTAGAATAATTTATTATAGCTTATTATTTTACATTTAACCATGAAAGCTGCACATGAGATGTGCAAGTTCAATTCTTCAAGCATTGTGACTTTAGCTTTCGTGCATGTAAATAGTGATTATAGTTATAATTTGTTAAAGTGTTTAAGAAAGTGAAAAATGTGCGAATCGACAATTGTAATCTACAATATTAATAAACATTGATTGCCGAAAGCATAAAATCAATATTGATTTTTAATAAAATGAGACTGAAACATTTAGTTTTCCAAATGCAGATTTATTCAATAACAGATTGCAATACAATAATGTATTGGTGTTAACGAGATCATGAAATTTCATGGTATTCAATTAACAAAAATGGGGGGATGATTACTGACTGAGTAAGTTTCTACATTTCCTCAGTTTAATCAGATGATTGAAACCTAGAAGTTTTATTTTATATAAATCTTTAATATAACTTTTCGACAATTAGAAATAGCAGCGTAACTGTGAACCATAAGAGTATTGACTGTGATGGTATGCAGTTGTAAATCATGATTTATTATTTTTTAAGTTTCATATTTTTCCACATAAAGTAAATCTATATAAATAAATATATTTTGAAAAATTCTGTAATTAGAATCTACTATGATATGTTAATTTTGACTATATTATAATGACAATATGGATATTATAGTTAAAGTAGGCTAATATTATATTTTTGTACAACTTTTCTAAGTTTTTTCTATCTATAGGAATGATGCAAATGTATAGTATTATGCAAGTAATAAATGATTCACGAGAATCGTTGAAAATAACCTTTCGCCTGACTTATTTCGTAAATTGCAAAATCGCGCGCATGAAGCAGCCAATCGGATTGCGCGCACGTGGACCTGCGTCGTCGGTGCTAACGCCACTGCAAAAAGTAGTACGTTGCAGACGACCAGAAAAACGACGTTTACTGAAATCAGATCCGAGAGAGGATTTCTCTCTTGTCTATTCTTTGGATTTTAATCTAAATCAAGCTCGTCAAAATGTCCGGCGGTCACGCAGATCCTCCAGGCTCGGAAAAACTCACTGGTCTGAGCAGAATTTTCAACAGCCAGACTGGCTATGGCCGAGCAAATGTAAGTTGTTGTGCACATCTAACCTCCACGTCGTTGAGACAATCTGTAGCATTGTGATGTTACGAGACCACTCGTTATTTATCGTTTGTTAACGAGATACCAATTCGATTCGCTATTTTGGTTTTTTGCAGGTAGCCAAGGCTACATATGCCGCGGTTGGTCTCATCATCGTTTACCAAATGTTGAAACCCAAGAAGGACAAGAAGTAGAGAACATTTAACAATGTTTAACCGAAATCATTGTAAATTTTGGAAATGAATGAAACATAGGAGATAGTTTAGTGAAATATTATTACATAATGCTTCACAGAGGCGCCATTCAGTTACTACTATTTCTTTTTTTAAGCATGAAAAAGATTGGTACAGATGATGGATGATCAATAAATTGTTGAAATGAAAAGTGTATTTCTTGAATTATTGTTTATTTTTATTGATAATCCTTGTGTTTTGATTGCTCAAAGTGTGTGATAAGTAAGGAACTTTCTGCTAACTTCAAAGATAAAATGTAGGTTGGAGTGTTCTTCTTTATCGGTAAAAGCTAATTTAAACCACTTGGCACAACAAATTTTAATTTTTAAAATTAAAGGTATAAGTTTAATTGATTAATGTCTTTAAAATGTACATTTTTAGTTAATATATCAAACTTTTATTCCATGCAACTATTTTAACAGATATGGGTTCATTATTTATAATAATATGTTTTGTTTTAGTAAAATCTACAATATTTTCTAAATCATATTTATCTTTAATAAAACTAATTGGCAAGCAAATTCTAAATTATTTGTACTATTGAATCTTGAACGTGAAATTGAAGCTAAAACGTTAGAATTTGAAATTACAGAAAGTCTTTGTTAGTTATCTTGTAAAAAAAAAATACCAAAAATGTCTTTAAATTTAAAAATTAAATGGTAATTATTTAATTTTTTGAGCATTGTTAAAAAATGTGAAGATTGTATCTGTGCAACAGTAAGTAACAGTAACTAACCATTATTGATCCCATCATCAATATTGCATCAATATGGTATAGCTACAATTATCATTTAGTTCCTTCCAATTTTCATCAAATAAATTTTTATTCGCAATAAATTAGTAAAAATATATGTTTTTTAAGATGATTACTTGAGTTTACACTGTACTGACTTTAAAATGTGAAATTTTCCTTTTTGTGTTTCTACAAGATCATTAAGGACTTTATTTAATAACCATCTATTATATTTTTATTATTTACAATGAATAATCCTAATCTACTTTTACATATAATAATGAAGCCAGAATTTTCTGTTCTGAAGAACAAGTAATAATCAATATATTTGTTTTCTAAATATTTCTGAGTTTGGCTGCAAAAGTTTGACACTATGTTGGAATTTCAAATTTAAGCAATTTGATCTCCGTGGTTAATTTTTAATTCAAACTTGGATTTATTTTAAATATATTATTGAATTAGCCATTAAAAACAATTCCTTAAATTTTCAAAACATTAATTTTTGATTCATCACCCTCCAGCTACCTTGAACATAATCGTTGATCCCTGCGGATTTAATACTCAAATGATCGCCTTCGCTCGTTCGCTAATCTATTGCGAGTCAACCCCTCGATACCCACAGAAGTTTAACTTGCAAAACAGATTTAAAATAGGCGAGGCAAGAAAGAAAAATAATTGTAGTGGTTACATTTTCTAACCAAGTGCTACTTGACTAGGGCGTGTGTGATTACGCTATTTTTTGTGGTTTACTCGAACCCGCATCGAGTCAGGAAAATTTGAGTTTTTTTGAGCATATTTGAACTTTTTCAATTTCAGTACAGTGTATTTTTTTTAATAATTATAATGTTGATTTTTGTGTAGATAAATTTTGATGAGGCATTTTTTACTTCTAATGATAGCGTGCTTATAATGAAAAAGTCAATACTAATTTTTTAAATTTATTTATTCGGATGAAAAATTTGACTTAATAAAATATGAAACATCATAATTAGGGATTGGATCTGTATCCGCCAAGCAAATGTTATAAAAATCTTTGTTCGTTAGATGATCGAAGATCATGTGAGAGCAGATAAGTGGCAGTTGATAGTGTGTCAGCTCCATAAAAGAATCCATTGCCCAGGACTCGAAAAATCTTCTCGATACTTTTTCGCACAAAAACGCAGCACAATCTTGAATTCTTCTGTAAAAATAACATAATTTTGCCGAACTAGCGAAGTCGAAGTAGTCCCTATACGTGAGTAGTTTTGCCGCCTCTGCGGGTCGTAACTGGATCAGATCGTAGAGCGACAGACTCGGCTTCACCATTATTTCTTTTGCTTTGCTCGTGAACGTCTCATCCATATTCCAATAATCAAAATCCATCGAGCTACAAAATAATTCGTTTTTAGCGAAAAATTTCATGATCTATAGGGCGTCGCTCCTGTCGAATTCGTAGCCGCTTTTCGCGAGACGTTCAGCGATGGCCAGAGTCTATTTGTGGGTCTACCAAAGGCCATGAATATTTTGCGAAAATATATGCAGCTGGTGCCAAATATGATCCCTCAGTGCAGTGAGTAAATTTCAACTAAGTCTCGAATTTTTAAACGATTTTAAGTTTCTGAAAAGCATGTTCTTAATTAATTTACGGTTGGCCAGCTTAATTATCAAACTTCATGTTCGATGAAACATTTGTAATGTATGGCTGGTTATAACTTGAGTGGACTTTTCGCTGAGGCTACAGCTCCTTTCAGTCAAGCAATTTGTCATGGAAAGTTAGTATTACTATAAAAACTTTTTAGATAATTGCTTCCTCATAGAGGAAGCTCTGTGATAGGCTCGAAAACGAGATTTTGAACCAGACCTCGTAGGACAATTTGGTTTATATATTAGGAAACTACATTGAATTACCAACAAATGTCTGTATGTATGTGATGGTCCTGATGGTCGTGATCTACTGGTACTTAGGATACTAGACAGTGCATCAAAATTTAAAAATACGAATTTTCACGTTCATAACCGATGCTTTTTGTTAATATTATTTTTTATGAGGAAGCTCTCTGCCGATAAATTGGCAGCGGTTTTTTAACACTGAGTGCGCGAAACACGGGTTTTCTAACCTTAAAGCGTCAGAAAACCCTAGTTTCTCGCAAGCAGAGTTAAAAAATATCGTTTGCAACTAGTCCGCGAGAAAGTTGACTCACCCAGGAGTCTTACCCTCGCTAAGCTCGGGTGAAAACAACTCCTGGACGAGTCAACTGCTTCGCGCACTTGTTACAAAAGATACTATTTTCAGATGATCCGAGGTCTAAAATCAGAAAAAAAACCCTATTTTTGTAAGGAAATCATTTTTTAAGATACCTGAAAAGGGATGTAGAAAATTTT